ATTGATGATGTAGAGTGTGCCTAAGGAGAGTCACATGGAGAGAAAACATTCTCTCAGGCTTTCACAGAAAGCACAGTGGCCAAGCAATGGCTGTGACTCATCCAAATGGCGGATACTGACAAAGCTTCTACAATCTGAGGTACAGGATCTCAGGGTAAATCCTGAGGGGATTTCACTGACTTTATCAGACCCAAAAGCCACAACTCTTGTTGCATAGGTCCTGCTTTACCTTGGTCTTTATCATCCAGCAGAAAAGTATAAAAACGAAAAATCAGAGCTGTGTTAGGTTGAGCTGTAGGGGACTCAGGTCAACAATTTCTGACATTGTCAGTGAAACAGAAGACTCAATACTATTATGGAATACTGGACTCTTTTAGAATATTTTGCTGAGTTTACACACCTACAATATTTAAATGATAGAATTTAACAAAAAAAGGGTATACAGATGAATGTCCACTTTGTATCTGTGTATTCAAAGTGGTTAGGATAGATATATAGTTATATTCTCTTAATGAATAGAGGGATTTATTCTAATGGTGTTTGTAAATAGGATATCAAGTCCGCATCTTGTACAGCAATTAACCACTAGGAAGAATATATGCAATGTGTTAATAATTGAAACTGTCCTACCAATTTTGTTTGAAACTGTCTCATTGCTATTTGTTTCTCAATAAAATTATGGGGGGAAAAAGGACATTCATGTCAATAAGAGTGTGCTATCATGTCTTTCTTCATGACAACCTCCCTTTTATTCTTTAATGTACTTTAATATTTTCTTTTTCTCTCTTACTCCACCCAACCTCACTGTGAACAGCCACTTTCTCCCTCACTCTTCACATGTGTTTTTGCAAATGAACATTGTCATGCCGTTTGCTCATTTCATTCAATTCTTTGCTCAAGATGAGAAGAATCTGGCATCTACAGAAAGAAAAATGAGTAACCCAAAACTGGGTAATATTTAATATGTGAGTGAGTTTTAGATGGTGATAATTTATAACATGATGGTCACTCTTCTCAGCACACATTTATATAACTCCGAAACTTAGGGGGCAAAACAACTAGCTAAAGAGTTACAAAAAGCAATGTCATGTTAATAAGCTAACTGTAAAAGGCTCAACTCAACAACTTCTGACAATTGCAAGTTCTGCTGATAACCCATAGTATTATGGACTATTGGACTACATTGGCTTATTTTGCTGAATTTAAGTACCTACAATCTTCAGACTGGTTTCAAGTATGGAAAGGTCCTTTAAAGTCACCTCCAAATACAGCTTCGCTACCCGCAGTGGAACACCCATCTTTGAAAGAAAAAAAAAAGAAAAAGGAAGATATATTGGGAGACACGAAGCTAGAAAATTGATCATATATATATGACTTGGTCCAGTGTCTAAAGCAAAAAATCTACCTTACTTTGGAGATGAACATCCTGTCTGGTTAAAGTTAGCTATCAGTTGCTAGACGACATAGTGTCATGAATTACTAATGTCACAAAAGTGTAAATAAAAGTCTTTTTTGTGAAAAAGGGGGAAGAAAAAGAAATAAATGTATACACAAGAGAGTTAGGATAAATATACAGATTCTTTTAGTTCAATGAGAATCAATGTTTTTATTATCAGTGTTTAGAAAAAATATCATCTCTGCATCTTTTCCTCTAAATAACTACTATGAAAACAACAATGTGCCATGTAGTAATGATTGTAAACATTCTACTAACCTGTTTTGAAACAGTTTCATTTCTATTTTGTATTTTTTACTCATTAAAATGAATAAAATTTGCATTTCATGGATGGCTAGTGATGTGAAACATTTTTTATATATTTATTTGCTTCTCTAGTTTCATCCCCTGAGAAGTGTGTGTTCATCTCGAATGCCCATTTCTGAATTGGGTCTTTAAATTTTGGGGCCCTAATGTTTTTTAGTCCTTTATAAATTCTAGAGAGCAGACCTTTGTCTGAGTGCTTATTACTTAAGATATTTTTGAAATTTGTGGGTTGTCTTTTTACTTTGTTGATAATTTCTTTGGACATGCAAAAATTTCTCAGTAAACGTCTCAGTTCTTTATTCTTTCAAGTATTAAAATTGAAGTTTGATTTCTGTTCATGAATTCTTTGCCTACCCCTCTGTCTTCAAGAGTTCCTCCTACTTTCTCTTCCAGGAGATTTAGTGTTACTATTTTAATGTTTAGATCTTTAATTCATTCTGAGTTTAGCTTAGTGCCTGGTGATAGACCTGGGCCAAGTTATAGTTTTCTGCATGTAGAGAGCCAGTTTTTCCAGTACTGTTTGTTAAAGAGGCTATCTTTCTTTCAGTAAGCATGTTTGACCCCTTTGTCGAAGATAAAGTGGCTTGTGTTTGTAGTGGCTCCTGCATCTTCTAATCTATTCCACTGATCATCAGGTCTATTTTATTACCAATACCATGTTGATTTTATCACAGTAGCTTTGTAGTATAATTTAGAAGATCTACCAACTGCGGTACAGGGTTTCAGGGTAAATTCTGATGCGATTTGACTGATCTTTTCAGAAACAAAAGTTATATGTCTTGTTATTTAGGTCTTGCTTTATCTTGGTCTTAACAATCCAGCAAAAATGTATAAAAGGAAGTATAAAAAGTAATACCATATTAATATGATGAGCTGTAAAAGGCTCAAGTCAACAACTTCTGACATTGCCAGTCTTATGGATAACCCACTACTATTATGGAATATAATGGAACATTTTGCTGAATTCATGCACCTACAATATTTTATTGGCAATGGAATACATATCCCTGACAAAATAAAACAATAAAGGGGATACAAATGAAGGATCATTTTGTATCTGTATATACAAAATAGTTAGTATAGATATACAGCTACTTTCTCTTAATTCCATGAGAAGAAAGATTTGTACTAATAGTGTTTGGACAGTATATGACGTCTGTGTCTTGTACTATGACTAACCACTATGAAGACAGCAATATGCAATGTATTAATTATTGAAACTGTCATACTAATCAGTTTTGAAACTGTCTCATTATTTGTTTCTCAATAAAATTAATAAAAAACAATAAAACAAAAAGAAAAAAATTTTAAAACTACTATCTAAGTCATAAAATGTGATTGCAGATTAAGGTACAGATTACCCACATATTTACCATGAAGGTAAAGATTTAGGAAATAAAATTTGGTAAAGAGAAATGAAAGTTATTCACTGGATGGCATCTTGAGAAGAAAGGGACTTCAAAATCATAGCTCTATTTTGCTGTCTTAGAATATGCATGGCTATTATAGGGGAAAACATCAGGAGAAGGGCAGGAGGACCACATCAAGAGTGGAATCTTCATTAATCACAATGTATGCCACCTCTTGATATTCCTTAAACTGTCCAGTATACTGCAAGCAACCTCAGCCTACTGAGGCTTCTTTCTTCAGTTTTTTAGATAGATAGAATTGTGGGATTAGAAAAAGTGTACATTTTTCTGGGATACATAAATCTAAAATTACATAACAGTTACCATTTTCATTACGTAAGAAGGGCTTGCCTTTAGAAACCAGAAGTCTACAGGAAGGTAAGGGGATGGAAAGCTTGCAGAATCATTAGAGAAGATGAAAGTGCTAAGGAAAGTGAGACAAAGGTAATTCTCCAAAGAACAACTTTCCACAGAAGCTACCCTGGTACAAGAGGATCCTCCCTTGCCTACATATCCCAGTCCAATGCTCCTGGGCCAAAACTAGTGCTCTCTTATTCTGTGATGTTATCTGATTTATTCCACTGTCAGATGTCCCTCTACTGATTGTTTCTCTGATTTTTTTGATGAGCATATAATAACACAATTATAAATATGTGCAGACCATTTAGAAACTAGCACCTAATCACAGCAAATAGCATTGCTTATCTTTGAACAGGAGCTCATCAAAAGTCACAATAGAGGGTGTCAGCCCATTGGGGGCAGGAGGAGCAAACCTTTTCATGAATTAGGTCCCCACATTAAGGAATTCATGTGCTCAAGATATCAGTAACAATAGCAGGCAGCATTGAGCAGAGCACAAGGATGTAAGAGAGCAAGAGACACTTTCATCTTTATTGTATACTTCATATATACCATGGATTGAACCCCAGATATTGTGTTTTCCAGGCAGGTCATTATGCTGCTGAGCTATATCCCTGTCTATTGCAGGTTATTTTTTTATATTTACATTCTTATATACTGCTGTATCAGCAAACCTTAGTTACTAGTTCTTATTGCTGGGACAAAATGTCCAATACCCAAATTTTAAGGAATAAAAGTTTTACTTAGCTCACAGTTTGTGGAGATTTCAGCCCATAATCAGCTGACTCCAAGGCAGAGTGGCTTATTTAAGAGGAAACTGTTCACAGTAGTAGATGGCAGCAAAACAAGAGCCAAAGAGGTAGAAAGAGACTAAGCCTCTTTTCCTCCCTTTTATATTATATTATATTATATTATATTATATTATATTATATTATATTATATTATATTATATGCAGGCTACCCACTCCAGGGTGGGTGTAGCATTCATACCCATAATTGGAACATGAATTAATCATAAACTCTAGAAGTCCACCCCATGACTGCATTAGTCATTGAAGGAATATCTGAACATAATCTATGACACAGCACATGCATATGTAATGGCTACATCATAATATCCCATTGTGTACTTGTGCAACCAGAATGGGGTCACTCCTAAGGTACTTAGACACCCAAGTTTTAAAGCAATCTCAGTGGTTCTCCACAGAGGTATTGTGAAAGATGGGTAAAATCCTACAGAAATGTAATGGTGAATAAACTTTACTATTCTTTCAGCTGCTTAGACCTACTGAGTAATTGCCTTACATTATGATTGATGTGCTTTTTTATATTTCTTTTTCCAAGGTGTGAATTCATCTTCAACAGCTCCCCACTATCACTCTCCTGGAAGAACTAGATAAGTGTCACTCTTTTGAGAAAACTTCATACCCCATCTAGAAAATTTTCTATACATGTCTTGCTTTCCTCAGAGTTGCAGATGGAGACCAAAGTGACAGTGTGTGAAGGAGACGTCCGGGATTCTCAATTTCTAAGGAGAGCCTGCCAGGGCGTCTCAGTTGTCATTCACACTGCCAGTGTCATTGACGTGGTAGGTGCTGTTCCCAGACAGACCATCTTGGACACCAATGTAAAAGGTAGAGTACTCTGCATGTTGATCTCCAGCAGGTAGCAAGAGGAGAATGGCAGAACAGATGAGGGGATGCCCCACAATGAAATTGCTTCTGGATCCAATCCACGTGCTTTCTCTTGTCACTTTCAACAGACAGAATTCAGAGCTGTTGCTCTTGGTGTTTTAGATGAGTAAAGCAGAGGAAAAACTTGCCCAAGGCCTCAGAGACAATCCATAAGACAGCCAGAATGCTATACCTGTATGAATTCAAATACTAGAAAAACTTTGCTGATAGCTGATCTATTTCAAGGTTGACTAGACTTTGAATTAAAAACCTTGATATCCATTCATCCACCTCTACCTATGGGGCAGACCAACTCACAGATGACCACTACATCATGCTTCTAGCTCTCACATCAGAGATTATGAGAACACCTAGAGTCTCCTGAACATCTGAAGGATAGGATCATCTCTACAGATGCAGCACAGCTGTTCCTTTCTTTGGATATTATTTTCTTCTTAAAGGGAAAGTGCTCTCCATGTCTTCCAGGACTAGTATGTAAATGCTGCTAATGGGATTGTATGAAATCCTTCTCTTGCATATATTCCCAGAAGAAAGCACATTCTTATTTTCAGTTCTTCACCAAGCCCAACAAAAAAAGGCCAGAACAGGACTTTGGAATTCTAAGTAAAGAAAATGTTCATCCTGTACATTCTGGATAGTCAGAGTGGTAGAAAGAGTGGTCTTCACAGATGATGTAATATCAGAAAGACAGGCTAAGTCTATATCTCCTCCAAAGCCATATCTATTTGCTGAAAAATTCAAATATGGCTCTAAGGATGAAGTTTTTCTTAATTTTCAACAATCAGAAAAATACGAGTATTATATTGCCTTCTTAAGAGTGTATACTGCCTGCTTACTATGAATGTGCAGATGTGATTTCAGCTTCCAACTTTACATAGCAGGTGTGATGTGATTTATCAGTACTTCGTAAAATGGTGATCTCTTCCACATTAAAGGGTATGGTGATACATAAAGTCTAAGGGAGTAAAATCACAACTTTTAGCCCTGCTTTGAAATACCATGTATGAAAATAAAGAGGAGAGGCTGAGATATAGCTCAGTAAGAAGGCCCTAAATTCAACCAACATCATCATAAAAACAATAATAAAATTAAAAGAACCTGTATTTGCTGAAATTATATGCAAAAAAAATGGAGAACTGAGGAATTTGTGGCCACTTCTGTTGGTTTAGTTTTAGTTTTTCTGGTGGCTAGAATTACGGCCTTCATCATTACAAACAAATCGCTAACACTAAACCATATTTCCTACATCAAATGATAACTTTTTAATATAAGCGGTTGCCAGTACATTATAGTTGGTTTTTTTTGTTTTGTTTTGTTTTTTTGAACTGGGGATTTAACTCAGGCCCTTGTGCTTGCAAAGGAAGCACTTATTCCACTGAAACATCTCCCGACCCCCATTGTTACATTCTAATTGCTGAGACAAAATACACAACATCCATAAGCTAAGGAGAGATTTAACTCACAGTTTGTAGAGGTTTCAGACCATGATAAACTGACTCTAATCTAGGGTGGCACACACAGGGGGACAACCATTTATGGCAGTGGAAGATAGCAAAAGCAAAAGTGGAAAGACAACACTTGCTGTCATTTAGGTTCTAAGCAGCAATCTGCCTGAGGGTGAGTGTAGCACTCGTACCCATAATCCTATACAGAACTATGCCAAATCAATCAGTGGACTGATGTAAAAATCACACAACCTGAAGCCTAGGGTCACATAATCTACATTCACCCATCACTGAAAATTTCTAAGAGCACATGAGGCTTAGGGGATGATCTAGACACAAGGAATAACATTTTGTCCCTGGCCCTTTAAAGACTCATGCTCACCCTATATGCAAATGTGATTTAGTCCATCCAAGAGTTGCCAAAGTCCTAACAGTTTGGAATTTTTCCAAATCCCAAATCTCCACTAAGAGATTGAAAGCAAATTCTTTGGCAGAACCAGGGATTGAACTCAAACCCTTGCACTTACTAGGGATGCACTTATTCCACTGAGCCATCTCCCCAGCTCTAAAGCAAATTCTTAGTGATGAGCCGCTGCATGAATGAGAAGAAAAATTTAATACTGGCTCCAAAGCAGGATAGCTTGGTGGAGCATCACAGAGGAAAACAAATTCTTGGTGAGCAGGAGATAGCAAATCAACCAAGCAAGGGTTGATTGCAACTCTTTCTATCCCTTATATTTTGTTCATTGAATACACCATTCACACCTTTAACCCTTGTGTCCTTGAGCCTAGCAATGCACTATGAATCAATTCTTGTATCATATCCCTTACATCCAGCTATGTCTGAAAATGTGAAGTCATAAAACTGCATGACACTTTGTGCGGGGGTGGGGGGACATCTAAATGCAATCTGTGACACCCAGTTTATAACAATTTTGAAGCAAAGAATGACAGATTACTCAGAGTCAACATCCAGTTCAAACTTGAAGATCCAAAGTGGCTGCCCTTAATGACATGAGACAATTCATAAAGACAGCACCAAATTGAAGGATCTGTGGATTTTTCCCAATAGAACTAGAAAGCAATGATGAAGAACAGAAGAGGATCATCTGTGGAGGAATTCATTAAGGACAATAGAAAAGTAGGAATAGGCTAGGGTTGTCTGTTTCCTGACTGGCTTAACAATCTAGATAATAAATCACAGTAATAGAAGACAAGGGTCAGACATGTGCTCAATAAGGAAATTTGTTTTGATCCTACATGAAATTATTTTTTAAAGTGTATATTCTTGGGGCTGTTTGTCTGTTTGTTTTCATACCAGGAACTAAAGTCAGGACCTTACACTTTAAACTGAGCTATCTTCCTAGCCACTACATGAAATTATACCACTGTAGGAATATTTTAATTGATCACCATGCCTTCCAGGAGATTTTGAAAATGTGGACTTCAAACTTCCTTATTTTTTAATATCTATCTCATGCATACCTCAGGCCAAATGCCTCATATGTAGTCACAATAAAGTACACACTTTATCAAAATGATGATGAAGTGACTTTGAAATTCAAAGTACAAACATACTCACAGATTTATGAAAAAAAAAACTCTAAACATTCCTGGTACCACAATTCAAATATCAAAATTTCTTTATTTTTATAATTTGTTCCAACTACAAAATGGTATTTGACTCAGGATGATAAAAATTACACTCCAATAATTATTTGTTTTAGGAAGAGAAAAGGAATGAGAATGAGCCTAAAGGATGGTGGGTGGGGCCTCTGGGTTGAACTGACCATGCTCTCTCCATGTGCAGGTACAGAGCACCTGTTGCATGCATGCATACAAGCTAGTGTGCCAGTCTTCATCTACACCAGCTCAACAGCAGTAGCTGGGCCCAACTCCTACAAGGAGATCATCCAGGATGCGCATGAGGGCCAGAATCATGAAAGCACGTGGTCTGATCCATACCCATACAGTAAAAAGCTGGCTGAGAAGGCTGTGCTGAAAGCTAATGGTTCCATGTTAAGAAATGGTGGCACCCTGCATACGTGTGCCTTGAGATTGCCATTCATCTATGGAGAAGGAAGCCAACTGATGTCTCGTGTGTTCAATAGTGCCCTCCAAAACAATGGGATTCTGAAAACTATGGGCAAGTTCTCTCTAGCCAGCACAGTCTATGTTGACAATGCAGCCTGGGCCCACATTCTGGCCACCAGGGCCTTAAAAGACCCCAAAAATGCTGAAAACATCAGAGGAAAATTCTATTATATCACAGATGATACTCCTCCGCAAAGCTATGATAGTTTCTACTATGCCATAAGCAATGAATGGGGATTTTGTGTTGATTCCAGCCCAAGTATCCCTTTGTTTCTGCTGTACAGTCTTGCTTTCCTGATGGAAATGGTGAGCTTCCTGTTGAAACCAGTTTACAACTATCAACCCCCCTTTAATCGCTTTGTACTGACAATCACACAAAGCGTGTTCACAGTCAGCTGTAAGAAAGCTCAGCAAGACCTAGGATATAAGCCACTCTTCAGCTGGGAGGAAGCCAGGCAAAAAACTGCTCAGTGGATTGGTTCATTAGTGCAGCAATACAGGGGGACTTTGAAGAGCAAGACACAGTGATGTGGTCCATAATAGGAATGGGGATCTGGGTGATGCCTGCAGGTACCTATCTACTTCCTCTTTCTGGATTCCTCCAAATAGAGACAAAGTTACATGCACAGGTCCCTCAACCATCCTCAGACACAATGACAACTTACTGTCCTCCTGAGGCCACCATATGCCTATTGGTTTCATTTCCCCTTGATAATCATAAAGTGCTGCTTTTCTTTGTAAAAGTTACAGTACTTCATGAAGCAGAGTGAAAAATGAAATAAATCTTTAAATGTCTAACCTGGGGTCTATGTGGTGTTGGTTATCACACATTTTCCAACTTCTTCTTCCCTTTCCAGTTATGGTCATGTGCTGTTCAGAACGGAAATGGAGCTGCTGTGGGAAGACTTTTGACATGGCCAGGGGAGCACCTGAGATTGCCTCTGACCTGCTAGGATTCATGCATATACTATGTGCCTTACATTAGCTCATTTCAGTCTCAGCCAATGTCTGACAGACTGGACTCCTATCCCAGTGACAAAGATGAGAACACGTGCTTACAGGCTCATTAACTGGTTTGTGGTGAGGCCACATGTCTATGGAGACTGAATTTATCCTTGTTTCTTTTCAATCCCTTTTCTTTCCCACTATTTCCCCTCAACCATTACAATTTTTCTGAAGATAGCAATCAAATGAGAGAGTCTGAGGACATAAATGAAATCATAATAGCTAACCAATGAGGAATCAATAGTCAAAGAAGACTTTTCAGGTCCCTAGGGCCAGTGCCAAATGGAAGTAGGTAAGAAAATAGATATGGTAATCTTATGGATAACATCAGCCTTACCTTTGACACCTAAATGTTAACTTTTCTGTCTTGCATGCCGCAAACATCACTATACTCTCATTCAGCATCAACATATCTTCCTTCTCGCATTCAATTACATTAATTAGATTCTTTTGTATTTGGATAGCGCTACTAAATTAAGCCCACAAGACCAAAATAAATTGTATCTCTCATGCTAAATTCAACACCTCAGGAGAAATTAAAGTGTTGAATGACATCAAACATGCAATATTAAGAGAGAGAAATGATGCCCATACTCTGAAACAGGTCATTTATAATTAACATGAGAGGAAGTCCTTTGTGCCATAACCTTTCAAAGGAACATATCATCAACACACCTAATCTTTCCAGTAGAGCTTTGTTGTCTGCTTCAGCTTTGTTCAGATCATTTAAGTACAGATAGCACTCCATCTGCTCAACTCAATGGACAACTGTGTGTCCTACAAAAGATTTGTTGCCTACTCTAGCCACAAAAAAGGAATGTTTTAATTTTGTACAGTTTGGTACCATGACACCTGGAAATTTAAAGATCATTATTTCAGATTATTTGAAAGAAAGCAAATTCAGACACTGGCTGCAACACACTGGGGGCAGCAGGTGCAATGGTTGTGCTGGTGTACAGTTCCACCATCTAAGAACTTAGAAGGGCACTGGGAAGCTGAAGACCTATGGTAAGCTACAACCCATGGCCCCAGTGCACAGGTGGAGAAGTTGTGCCAGCACCCAGTCCAACATTTTGAGAACTTAGGAGGATTCTGGGCAGCCCATGGGATTCTGGTGATCTGCTACCCATGGACCCACGTAAAAAAGTGTGTAGCTTGTGCTGGCACTCAGTCCCACAATCTGAGAATTCAGGAGGACATGAGGCAGCCATGAGATCCTGGTTAACTAAGCCCATGCCCATCATCTTCACAGAAGCTTTGTTGAGCATTAAATAGTCATCATGAGCAGTAGTGAGAGATTTGGTGAGTCCCACCTTGTCCCCCACTGTAGTGGAAGCCTCACTGACCCAGGCCCCACAATACTCCCTCACTGCTGAATCAGTGTGATCTTTGGGAGCTTCAAAAAGTTCCTGAACAGCATTCCAGAAACCCCCAGACAAAGTCCTAGACCAGGCCCTGTGAGTCTGTGGGAGAGCTTTTGGGTACCCGGCACCAACAGGACCTACTGTACCAGACAGTTGCAGTGTGGGTGAGACCCTCTTCCACACCCTTGGGACACCCCCTAACACTCTGGAGCACCTCTGCTACCTGGCCTGCCCAGTAAGAATTTCGGACATGTTCCGGGAACCCTCAGATCCAGTCCTAGAATAGGCCTAGTGAGTGTAGGGGAGAGTTTCCGGTGACCATGTGCTGGCGTGACCTACTGCTCCCAGCCCAGGCACAGCGTGAGTGACACCTTCTTTCAACATCTTGGGATGCCCCCATCACTCCGTAGTATGCCCCCACACACCCCGCTCACAGAGTAGGAATTACAGTTGCATTCCGGGAACCCCCAGATCCACACTTAGTCCAGGCCCGATGAGTGTGTAGGACAGCTGTCTCTCCCCTCTACTCCACCTTGTATCCTCCAGACTCAGCTCAGGCCTGGCATACAGGCCTGGGGTGAAACCCTGAAGCTGCAATCCCTGCAGAGAATGTAGGGGACAGAACCACACAGCTAGTCCAAGAGCAGAACATCATGCCAGAGGGGCACAACAGGTTCACCCCCAAGGGCAGCAGCAGGAAGGAGCTGAGCACAGCAGCCAGACCCAAGACAGGCACAGCTGTATAAATCCAAACTTTGTAGATCTGCACCTGAACTTCAGTAGGTGCTAAGGCTATAACTGCTAGGGTTATAACAAAGGTCTACAACAAAGGTCAGAAGACAGTGCTACACAAAATGACGAGAAGAAACAAAATGCAAGCGCACCCATAACAAGTGCAGAGGACACTAACACAGAACAAATTGGGAACCATACCGCTGAAAGTAATGAATCAACAGCTTCTGAAATAAAGAAACAGCTGCAGAAAGGTATAGAGGAACTCAGATCGGAAAAGAAAAAAGAAATCCCTGAATAAATAACATCTGCAGTAAAGAATCAAATGCAGAAACATATGGAGGAAACAAAAAGCCCAACCAGAACAAGTGCAGAGGGCACTAGCTCAGCTGAAATGTATGAATTAATAGCGTCCATAGTAAATAAGCAACAACAGAAAGTCATAGAGGAACTCAAAGCAGAAATCTCTTCTACTAGCTCAGCTCAGATGTATGAATTAATAGGGTCAATAGTAAATAAGCAACAGCAGAAAGTTATAGAGGAACTCAGAGCAGCATTATTTTCTGAAATAAAAAAAGAATTCTCAGAACTCATAGCGTCTGAAGTAAAGAATCAACTACAGAGACCCAGTCCTACCCCAGGCCCTGTGAGTGTGTGGGAGAGCTTCCTGCTACCCTGCGCCGGTGGGACCTACTACTGGTCCAAACCCAGGCGCAGCATGGTGCGATCCTCTTCCACCCCCTTGCGACACCCCCCACCGCTCCACAGCACCTCTCCCACCCTGCTGGGCAAGTAGGAATTATGGCCACATTCGGGGAAACCCTAGAACTAGTCATAGCCCAGGCCCGGTGAGTGTGTGGGAGAGATTCCTGCTACCCTGCGCAGGCGAGACCTACTACTGGTCCTATCCCAGGCACAGCGTGGGTGAGAGCCTCTTGCACCACCTTGGGATGCCCCCAACACTCCACAGCACTACCCCCACCCTGCCTATCCAGTATGAATTAATGCCACTTTCTGGGAACCCCCAGACCCAGTCCTAGCCCAGGCCCGATGAGTGTGTGGGAGAGCTGCCTCTCCACCCTACTCCACGTTGTCCCCTCCAGGCTCAGCTCAGACAGGCATACAGGCCTGGGGTTTAGCCCTGCAGCTGCAATCCCTGCAGAGAGTGTAGAGAATAGAACCACCCAGCTAGTCCAGGAGCAGAAAGTCTTGCCAGAAGGGAACAACTTCAGCCCCAAGGGCAGCAGCAGGAAGGAGCTGAGCACAGCAGCCAGACCCAAGCCAGGCACAGCTGGATAAATCCAAACTTTGTAGATCTGCACCTGAACTTCAGTAAGTGCTAAGTTTATAACTACAACAAAGATCTACACAAAGTTCAGAAGACAGTGCTACACAAAATGAAGAGAAGGAACAAAAGGCAACCTCAGAACTCAACCACACCCGTAACAAGTGCAGAAAACAATAACACAAAACAAAATGGGAATCACACAGCTGAAGGCAATGAATCAACGGCTTCTGAAATTAAAAAAAAACAGCTGCAGAAATGTATAGAGGAACTCAGATTGGAAATTAAAAAAGAAATCCCTGAATTAATAACATCTGCGGTAAAGAATAAAATGCAGAAACATATGGAGGAAACCCAATGCCAACTCAGAACAAGTGAGGAGGACATTAGCTCTGCTCAAATGCATGAATTAATAGTGTCGATAGTAAAAAAAAGCAACACCAGAAAGATATAGAGGAAATCAGAGTGCAATTCTTTTGTGAAAAAAAAAAAAAAGAATTCTCAGAACTCATAGCATCTGAAGAAAAGAAGCAACTACAGAAACATAGGGAGGAAACCCAATCTGAAAAAAACACTGCAATAAAACAATGTATAACTGCTTCTAAAGAAGACATCAATAAAACAAATAGAAGAGATTAGAAAAACGACAGATTCATTGAATGAGCAATACAGGAAAGAAATAAATCGCATGAAGCAGAGTCAAAGAGATATAGAGGAAATTAAAATCTCAATAACAAGCTTGCAAAACCGTTTAAGTGAAAGTGAAGACAGAGTTTCATATCTGGAAGATTCTAGTGCGGCTAGTGACAAGGTAAGAAAGGATCTCTTAAAAACAATGAGGATGCAGGAAAGAATAATCCATCACCTGCAAGATGATGAAAAGATGACCAATGTGAGACTAATAGGCATCAATGAGAAAGAAGGAGTCAATACAAATGACATTTAAAAAATATGGGCAGAAGTAATAGCAGAAAACTTCCCAAATATGAGGAAACAATCTGACATTCAGGTAACTG